ATAATAAAATTTGTTTCAGGGTCTGCTTTTTGTGTAAAAAAAAACCTGTATTTGCCACAGATACATACTGTAAGTGAAGCTGTATTAGTTACACTAATATCAAATAACAGAGATCTGTGATTTTGAAAGGTGCTGCTTCATGTTTGTTCAAATGAAAGTAATAGGTCCTATTTTAACTGAGCCTTCTGAGGTCATGTCTGGCAGCAGTAATGTTTATCATGTTGTCACTTATGTAGTTGTTCCTTTGAGGTGGAAGCCTACGATAGTACCTTGTGTTTACTGCAGCGCAGCTATATACTTTTATAACACAGTTGCATTTTTCTAATTTAACCTGACTTCCCAGCCATATTGCATAGTGGACGGATGTATTTACATGTAAAAACAGGATTGATTCTTTTTTTGCAATAACATTAGCTGATTAATGACTTAAAGTCTGTAGGAGTAACTTATTAGTGATCACTTTCGAAAAGAGATTTTCGGTTTTTTAAACACTGACCTCATTAAATGTTTCCAGTTATCCATGAGTACCATTGTCACTTTCCATGAAACAAGAAAAGAAGGCTAATAACAATGGTAATAAAAACTGTCTAAAATGCTTCAAAAGAAAACAGGAGCATGAGTAACATTATTTGTTCAGAATGTAGGCTGATTCCTCTTTGAAAAAAACTATGAAAGTGGAAGTGAAAGAGGAAGTAACTTAATGCTCTTTGTTCTCAGAGTCAATTTTTCAGCATAAAGATCTACCGGGCAGCCAGTCAGTAAGGATGCATGTAGAAATGTTCCAAGTTGAACTTACTTGGCACAAAGTCAGACGGTTAATGGTGTATTGAAAGAAATTTTTGACTTTTTCAGTCCCTCTCTAGCCCTCACTGGCAAACCTCTGTTTTGCCAGGGAGAAAAAATGATTTGTTGATAGCCTTCCTTTCGATGTTTTCTTAACCACAGAACAGGGTGTCCACCTCTCAGACTGCTCCTTTGTTCCGACCAGGGCTTGTCAAGCCAGCAATGGAGCTAAGATCTTCAGTCTTAAGTAGAGGAGCCTGTGGTTTAATTGGAGATTGCAGACGTACAAAAGATGCCTTGATTGAAAGAATCTGTACACTTCTGTAAATAAGGCCTCTCTTCGAGAGTGATCCTCAGAGAGTTCTGTAATTGACACAACCATGCTTAGAAAATTCTTAACTCTCAGAAATTGCCATCATTAACTCCAAAAACACAGTGGAGGGCAGAACAAAAATGCATTGTAAAGGAAAAAAAGAACTATGCAACCTTGCATTCACCCAAACTACTTTAAAGACTTAAAAACCACGGAACTGAGCCTCTATCCTTATTATTGAGCTGAGGAAAGGGTGTAACTGATAAACACTCTGTATTTGAAGCCTAAGCAGTAGTTTGTAATAATAAGATTAAATAAGTGAAATGTGCTGCCTTTTATCTTTGCAGGGGAGATCAAAAGAGATACCTCTTTTTTAAGTTGTCTCTTTCAAACCGGATGGCTTAGGCTGGGCTCCAGAAGACGTGATGTGGCAGCAGAAACGGCTAGCTGGGTGGTGCTAAATCTGTCCATTTGTGACAGGAAAATTAAGGCCTTAATTTGCAGGAACGCGGTTTTGATATTCTATATTTATTCTGACCATGAGAAGACTCCACCCATAGCTCAAGTCTGCTCTGCCTACAGTACTCCTCCCTTCTTCAACCTCTTTGTTGTCATTGTGCTGCTGTGCGATTACTTCTGCAGAGGCAGGGCTCCTGGTCTATCCTTGACCCCAGCTGGTCCTTTAAGGTACCCTAGCTGTATGGGTGGTTACAGATGTAAAATGCTTTGGGTAAAAGCATCCTCCAAATAAATGTGAATTGTATTGGCACACTCCATCTCAAATTTATTCAGCTTAATCAATTATTTTGCTATGACATAAATGACATTTATATATCTTCTGCTTTTCTTGATCACTTGCTCACACAAGCAAGTACTGGCCAGGATTTCTGACAGGTGAACTATTTTAGAACAGTGAAGCAAACATTCACACGCTGTGCTCTTCCTGGGGGAGTGATAAACCCGGTTGTATTTGTCACACACACAATGGCATCGTGAACAACTGCATTGGGGATAAAGGATGTTACCAGTCGCCGTGGCGGTAAGGGGGTGGGGAGCTGCTTGCATGCTCCAAGGGTCAGCTGAAGCCCCAGCTGATTCTGTTATAGGGCTGCAGTGAGGACACAGGCTAGGAATGCAGCCTCACAATGAGCCACACAGGACATCCCAGCGCCACAGGAAAACAGACAAGACTGGCAGATTTATTCCGTTCCTGCCACAGCATTCATGTCACCTCGGCACGGGTCGCCTTAATGGACAAAGATCTCCTGCTGATCTGAAGGTTGATCTGCGACTGGGCTAACCTATTTTTGTTTTTTTTGAGCAAATGCGTGCAGAGAAGTTTGTTTCCCCCATTAGTTTATAGCTTTGGAATTTGACTCTTGGTGTGCAGTAGTTCTCTTGGTTTTCTAGAGTTAAGTTAAAACGCAGTTTCCCACTCCAAATTCTAAAATACATGAGGGTAAGCGCTTTGCCAGTCAGTTTTATTAACCTCGGACTGCATATTTGGAATACAAGGCTGCCAGTACCACAACTTGGTTCCAAAAAGCCAGGGATGTTGGATTGGGATTGGCTTAAGTAGAAATGTCTTTCACCTATGGGCTATGTTCATAAGACCTTAGTAAAGCTTCCAATCAGACCATAAAAATAAAAACACGCTATAACCCAAAATAAGAAACTCTAAAACAAAAGTTAAGAAATTCTCAAATAATGCTTTGATCTGAATGAGCTGAGCTGCCAGTATCAGTTTCTGTAAGAACATACGTTTCATATTTCCATAACAAGTGAAACATATTTTCATATTTATGTTTCCGTTAGCGTTTTGGTAATTAATGGCACTGAAGGCCCCTGCAGAGAAGGTTTACAGACACAAAATTGATTTAATATGTTTTTCCACAAAATAGCTTTTATAAAAAAAAGCTATACTGTGATCACTAATCATGATAAAGATTCCTGTTTGTCACGATTGACTACTGTGTCTAATATTTAAGACGTTAAACATCTTAAATGTAGCCATGTGAACAATCATTTTAAAAGACAGCAAAATAACATAGTGTAAAATTTTGAGTAGCGATTTACCCGAGATTTACCCGATTGCTCACAATTGCATTGGTTAAAGAACGTCTTCCAAAATAAAAATCATATAAAACTTGTACTTTTGAACTTTAGCAAGGTGGAGAATTTTATTCTTAGCACCAAAACTCTCTTACAAAAACAAACTTTTCAAAGACAAATCAAACATTTTGGGTCATTATTAGCTGACAGAGAACATTAATAAATAACAGATCAACAAATATTTTCAGATCAGAGCACATCAAACTGAAGATTGACTAAACTTTGGTTAGAAAAATAACAAAATCATGGCGAATATCCTGGCTTCTAACAGAAACACTCAGAGAAAAACTCCCTTTCCAATAGTTCATAACAAGTCCATTTCAGAAGCAGCCTTTTCACATCAAACAACATCTACAGACGCACTCAGAATAGGCACTACTACATGAAAATATTTTGGTTATCACAACAGATCAAAGAAATATGTGAACAAAAAGGGATCCATAGTCTTCATGGACATTTCATTTTCAAGCAGCAGTCAAACAGGAGTATAAAAAGTATGGGTTTTAAAAGGTACAAACTGAAACGTCAGTTTAAGAATACTTCTGCAAGGATAGGGTAGCTCAGGATAGGGTGTGGTACTATGAATTACCAGAGTCTGGATTTGTTCTCAGTAAACACCTGACCTTGAGAAGGGTGGCTCTGCTTCTCTCCCTGTGACAAAAACAGGGTATGGGACTGTGTGCAAGCACACAGGAAATCTCCAAAGCCGTTTAGATTAAGAGATAAGATAAGATCACTTTATTGGCCATATACAATTTTGTGCATGAGGAATTTATCTTTTCCTATACCCCAGCTTGCTCTCCATGAGTCCCACAGACAGGGAGAGAATCTTGGGGTCAGAACGCAGGGTCAGCCATTGTAAAGTGCCCCTGGAGCAGCTGGGATTAAGGGCCCAATGGAGTAGGATTCCGCAGCAGGCCGCGGGATTTGAACTGGCAACCTTCCAGCCACAGGCGCAGATCCTTAGCCACAGAGCCACCGCTCCACTATATTAATAGAATGTTCCCAGGATGCATGTTTCTGGAAGACGGGAGAAAAATGATGCACCCATAGAAAACTCCAGTGAACATGCAAATACAATGAAGGAACCCCAGTCCACAATCAAACCCACAGACACAAGGGCAGTGAGGTGAGGTGAGTGAGCTACATTACCCCTCAAGTCACCATGCCAGCCCCTGAAAATGCTACAATAAAGAATTAAATCTATATGAACCTTTGCAAACCTGCTGCAGTTCTACTATATTTAACAGTACCACCAAAAACAATATTTTCTGCGGTCTCCCCAGTTGACTACTCTTTATAACAGCACAGTAATGGTGCACACAAATTGCTCATTCCCGTATGGAAAGGTCTAATTCCAATAGTTAAAACTATACGAATTGTGTGCAAAACTGAACTGAACTTTGGTTAGAAAGCACGCTTTCTCCCTGTATACACTGTAATCAAATAACTTAAAACACATACTAGAAAACATTAAAAATAAACATATCACCTCTTTATTTTTCTAAAGGACTGCTAATTGCAGTTGTCATTTAGGTTTCCTAAAGCTACACTTACCAAGTTTTCCTCCTCAACAATGAAGGAGGAATACACAAGGAGAAAAAGTCCTATTGTATTATCTGAACATGTACTCCAAAAAATTGTATTCAGTTTTTATCTTTGGTCTTTAAAGCAGTTTCACTAAGACAGATTTCATTGTAGACTCTTTCCATAAAAAATCCTGGCTTCTCTGAGACCCAAAGTTCTTGACAACTTAAAGCCCTTTTTTAAACATGGCTATACTCATGTCTAATTTCACAAGAAATAATGTGTTAAGTGACAACGTGGAAAGGAGTGTTCAATTGGACAGTGTTTCTTTACTGTATTGCCTCATATATTTACAGATTATCTTTGCCAAATACCAAATACCTTCCAAGTTTAGGACAGAGTGAATTGTGAAGAGTATTTAAAAGTCTGCCAGGCTTGAATGCTTTTCTAAAACTGTTTTTCACAACTTGTGCCTGTATCCTAGGTATTCTAGATCCCTGCACATGCTGTAGTAAATCTGGGCAAACCAATAGCAACACAGCAGAAGACTCCCAACCCCCTGCTTTCCTAATTTCCTGATTTCAGTGTCAAAGAATATCTGTCCTTGTGCAAGGAGAATTTCATTTTAAACAGAGTAATAAATGATTAATTGAAGTTAAATGTTTTTTCTTCAGTCAGACTCACTGACCTGTCTGTAAGCATCTGTTTGTCATGAGCAAGTTTGTACCCAAACAAATTCATTGCAGGCTCACAGGCACCCTGGACCACCTGGGCGAAATGGAAAGGTATGCTGAACCTCCATTTCTCCACCTGTTCCGAGGAGTTCTTTTGTGTGGAGTACACGCCACTGGTGTCCTTTGAAGTTTGGGTATTTCTGAGAATCCACTCTTTCACCTGTGGAGTGAAGGGAATATCAACAAATCTGTACATTTCAGTGGCTTTCTCGACCGGATACCGGGCAATGTCCTCGTAGCGCACGAGCATGTAGCGGTTCCTCAGCCAGGACGGCTGTCCCAGGCCGACCTCTGCCGACATCCGGATATTCTCACAGTTCACTTTCAACTTCTTCACCTCGTTTTCGTCGATGGGCACCTCCGTGTCCGTGGCCCATTTCTTCCAGTTCCTGTACCTGTAAGAGAAAGCCACCATCCGGGAGGCCAGGACCGCCCTGGGGTCCCGCACCAGCTGGATGACCTTCACGTCCAGGCGCGGGTCTTCGAGCAGCGGACGCAGGAGCTCCAGCTGCCTGACCCGCACCGTCTTGATGGCCACGTGCTGCTTCTGCCGGCACGACTCCGAGGCCAGGGTTAAATTCAGCGGTCCGCACCGCCGGGTCTTGCAGTGGTACCTCTCAGACACCTTCTTCACAGGTGGAGTGCACACGGGGTCTTCGCACAGACAGCTGCTGGAGTCCCTGCGGAACCAAGCCGGCGTGACGTGGTCCTCGGGTGGAGGGGCGATGAAGCGCTCGATCAGGGCGAAGTCGCAGAGGAAGAGCTGCCGGAGCACCTCCCGGTAGGCCTTCGCGGTCACCGACGCGTTGGTGCCCCCGGTCTCGAGCGTGAGCATCCGTTCGACGTGCCACAGCGGCTCGAACAGGTAAAACATGCTGCTGCCTTGCTGGTTAAAAAACTCGCCGACGAAGGAGGAGCCCGTCCTAGTCGTAGCCAACAGGAGGATGTGCCTGCGTGCGCCGGGGAGGTCGCTGTTCTGCCGCTGCTGCATCTGCTGCCTGTAGTTTTCCAGCCGCTGCTTGAACTGCGAAAACGCCAAGTCCAGCTCGCTGAGGACCGAATAGGAGCCATTTTCTGTCAGCACCAGGGGCTCCGAAACGCTGGAATCCAGTGGGGTCTGAGGCGTCTGCTTTGGTGCCAACTTGTCAGAGACCCTGTTAAGATAAAGAGATCAACAGATTCTAAACAGGGATTAGATTTTATATCTGTACAACTTTCCAAAATGAAAAGGAAAACATATGATCATCGATTTAATATTGAAATACAGTAAACCCATGGTTTGACAGAGTAATAGGGGGAAGGAGTGTCCATTAGAACTGAATGTCCGTTAAATCACGAACGTTTTATCTGCCCCAAAATACACTTTTATGAGGGAAAAAATATTTTTAATCAACAAATGCAATCAACAAATCACTTATATATACATTATTCTTGTGCGGTTTTATCATAAATATACAAGCTCTTTATTTAATGTATCGTAAGCATACCGTAGAACACAAAAAGTAAACATCCATAGTAAATAACTGACCTATAGGCCACCACCGATAATCCTCAATTTTAAACTTATGCAGTATTTATTTTTGCATTTCATCATTATTGAGAGGAAAGTCTGGTATTCATGATATAACAGGCAACAGTTGTCATTAACAACTTATTTTCTCTTTAGACTGAATTTGTTCATCTACGTGCTTGACGCTTTTTGCATAGTGCCAAGCGGAACACACAGTTTTAACTACTCATCTGTAGGCAGCAGTGTGTGCTGGACAGGCACAAAGAGAAATTCTTATGTTACCAGTGAACCTTTATCTTGACTTCCCCAAGGTTCAGACAGAGGTCATCTGCTACTTGAATGCTTTTGCACTCTGTGCTTCAACAACCTCTTAGCATGAATGCTTTGAGTTTCTAAACAAAAGTCTTTGTTCCCAAAAATGTAATAGACCTAGGACTTTTCACACCAGGATACACATGACAGATCATGTCCATACTAAAGCCAGTAAGCCACTGCTTCATCCAGCAGCAAAACCAGCCAGTGAGGATCACAGGAGAGGGTAATCCACTTGGCTCATTACTGTACTGTGAGTTAATATAAGCAAGTCAACATCCCTCATCTGGACTCTTTCTAAAAAAAATGACAGCACAGCCAGGAGAACTCGGCTACCACTAATGCCAAAACTGCTGCTTTCCACAACTGAGAAGAGACTGAGTGCTGTCATAAACTGTTGCACTAAAAGGGAGTTCTTTCCTGCAAAACCCACACGTATATTTGATCATTCCAGTTTACTAGTAAAGAAACTGTTCACTTTGGCCAGTGGATTTGTCTTTTCTGTCAGATACAGCAGGACTGTGCTTAAGAAGCCTTCAACTAAAGAGTCATTCAATCTAGACAGGTTTGGAGACTGTGACTCACAAGTCTAGTTGACACTGATTTCCATGGTGCGCAAACCAGGAACCGGCTATGCAGGCAATCTGCAGCTATCCTGCACTATGCCTGCTAAGGACCAATAATTAATAATAATAATAATAATAATAATAATTGCTTACACTTATATAGCGCTTTTCTGGACACTCCACTCAAAGCGCTTTACAGGTAATGGGGACTCCCCTCCACCACCACCACCAATGTGCAGCATCCACCTGGATGATGTAACGGCAGCCATAGTGCGCCAGAACGCTCACCACACATCAGCTATCAGTGGGGAGGACAGCAGAGTAATGTAGCCAATTCATAGAAGGGGATTATTAGGAGGCCATGATTGGTAAGGGCCAATTGGAAATTTGGCCAGGACACCGGGGTTACACCCCTACTCTTTTCGAGAAGCACCCTGGGATTTTTAATGACCACAGAGAGTCAGGACCTCGGTTTTACGTCTCATCCGAAGGACGGCGCCTGTTTACAGTATAGTGTCCCCATCACTATACTGGGGCATTAGGACCCACATGGACCACAGGGTGAGCGCCCCCTGCTGGCCCCACTAACACCTCTTCCAGCAGCAACGTTAGTTTTTCCCAGGAGGTCTCCCATCCAGGTACTGACCAGGCTCACACCTGCTTAGCTTCAGTGGGTTGCCAGTTGTGAGTTGCAGGGTGATATGTCTGCTGGCCTTATAAAAGAGATACTGCCTCTGCTGCCATTTTACATCAGTTTCACAATTTTCCTTCATAGATGTTTTGAGTTCTAAAATAAAAACATTTGCAAACATCGTACAGCATTAGCTGACTATAATTAATAGTGCCAAAATACACAAGCATAACATTGAATTATGTGGGCTTCTGTAGATTTAAATTGAGATTACGAACAAAATTGTATTTCATTTTTTCATTATGCTGCAGAAAATAATTTTAGTTGCTGTTAGTATTTAATATTTTAAAATATTTCTTCAATGGAAAAAAGGTTAAAAAGAAACCTTCCTGAAAACTCCCCATACTCCCCTGAAGTGTTACATGACCTAAGGAGTCATGGGTGTTACACAGAGATGCTGACAAAACTAAATTGTTATACATTCTACTGAACCAAATAGAATGGCTAAATAGAACAAGCAGTCTTTTTACCCCCCCACCTGATTGTTTCCAGAAATTCATAAATCTCTGTTTCTAACTTTCAGTACCATTCTCTGGATATTTAACTAAATACGTAACAATCTTATTTAGGACAGCTGCCATGTAATGTATCTGTATCTCCAAAAAGAAAATAACAAATTAAGTCAGCCGAACTGGTTTCCGATTGTGAAAGTGGTCTCAGTTAGAAGGAAACAGAAATCACTGAAAAAGAAAAGGTTGTTAAAATTACAGTAACTGGAATGAAAAAGGCACCATTTTGTGCTTGCTAGTCACCAAATAATATAATTTGCCCCCCCTTTTACATCTTAAGAATAGAGATTGATATTATGCACGGCTCACATTTCTGTGTAAAAAGTTAAGCAATAAACTTAATTTAAGTGTTGTCATTAGAGATAGACAACAGATAAAACAGCAAAAAAATAAGAATATAATGAACATAATGAACAAACTCACAGAAAAACTGGCATTTGGGTCAGAATTGTTGTGGTCTGAAGAATTGAGAAGTAAAAGTACATCTTTTTCACTTTTCCCCTTACAATGCTACAGTATAAAATAGTTTTTAATTACTGAAAAACCACCTCAGGTCATGTAAGTGTTCTTATGAGGAACACATGGTAAATATCAGTGTGAAACTGCAAAGTAGATTGTCATGTTACTGATGAGACAGGATCAGCGAAGAGGGGACACTTTCCATTATCTACGATTGGGTTTGATCGCATTCCCAAAGTGGCAAATTTGCCTACAATTCACCCTGCTTTTAGAATAAAAGGTGCAACATAAAGTTTACTGCTACTTACAAGACTTACCTTGATATTATCTTATGTTCCTTCTCAATGATGACAAGTGCCACTATGAAGACTAGGAAAATTGTGTATTTGTTCCTCATTCTTGGATAAAAGTTTGCATTAGAAATTGGTTCTTATCCAATTCTGCTGACCTCCCAATTATGACACAAAGCGTCACAGTCGCCTCTTCAGACTTCCAAGAGCCTCTTCTGTGGGCTGCACTGCAGCAGCTCCTCATACAGGTCCAGCCTGTGCCAACATTAAAACAGGAGTGTTAAAATGAATATTGCTCACTAAAGTTAAATGTGAAGAACAGTAATTCTGGAAGATCATAAATGTTTACATTAACCATGAAATGAAACAAGGACCCTTTCAGAAATAAGCAAGACATCTGACCAAATTCAAAGTAATTTTTAAGTTTTTGCTTCAGAACATCCACCGATGGACCCAAATGACCCATGTTCCTTTATTTTCATTTAGAAACCTTAAATTTTATCTGACTTCCTTCTTGTATAAAGTGGAATTCTTTAAAACAAAATGATTTTGGGTACTTTTCAACCTTTTCTGTGTTGATTAAAAGTTAGCCATTTCCTAACTGAAATTCCATTTTGTTTATTAAAGATTAAATATGCTTCATTGATAGAGCATCCATGCTTGTACAGAGGACCCACAGATACCTGGCACACAAAGCACATTTATTTCCTGTGGATTCAGGCGGTGATATTTATAAAAACTACTGTCAAATGACAAATATTCAAGTAAAATATATTTCAAAATCTCGGGTTTCAAAATCAAACTCTTTCCACTTTAAGCTGCCAATAAAAAGAACAAAAAGAACACATCTGCAATCTGTCCAGCTCTGCAACTTAAGTCACTTAGCAGAAGCACAAGAAGTGCTTCCCTACATCTGTGTGAAATATCTAAGAACGCACATCCTTTTTTTGCTTTTTGTGGCTTCCTGTGATCTAATCAAGAAATAAACAACAATCATCTTAGCTGCCCACGTAATCTGTGCAGTTGTCTGCTATTTCTTTCAATGCTTTGTCCTGGTTACAATAATGTTTAAGAAATGTACTCCGTGATGACAATGTATCTAAAACAAAAACATAGTTTCTTAGATATAGAACAAATTTATTAAATGCCACCTTTCAACATTATCAACACTATCGTACAATTTCCTAAATTGGTTATATTGATGAGTGAGTGAGGCCGTAAGAAATGCGCCCTGTTAAGACACAAAATAACATCAACACTGACAACTGTAACCAACAGATCTTCACAGTATTTCTGTCTGGTTTATGTTGTTTCCAAAGTTCTCACTGAAAATGCAGATATTCAGACATAGATGTATGAGTTTTAAAAGATATTAAAATGTATAAAAGATGTTGAGACATGCATGTATAAAACCAAAAATATATATTTTTAAACATAATGTTATAAATATAATACAATTTAAATGATAACATGTGCCTATGAGATGATGATATTGGTACTCTCCTACACCAAAAACCCAGCACTCATCAGAATCTTCCTGGAACTTTGTGTTGTGGTCTTCTGATGTGGCACCCCCCCCACTACTTTGTGAACAAATTTGTTAAACTCGGCAACATTTTTTTTTCACTAAAGAAACCTGGCACAACCCAGTGGTGCTCAAAATGATTACATTGTCATTCGCAAACAATGCCAGCATGTGCATCCAGACCAGGATGTCATTCAAGTGTGGCAGATACTGCAGAGTACATCTGGAGCTCACACAGTGGATTAAAGCAGATAAATACAAAAAGAGTTGAGAGTATGTCATAAAAGCATTTGCCAAGGTGACTTTGTATTCAACAGCAGCACCATCTGCAACCTAAATTCTCTTAATATGAAAACAACCTTGTAGCGGGTGTCACTTTGCTCTCCCTGCGGCATGGAGCATGGTCTTTGACACCTTCAAAATGATTTCAGACTGTCAGCTTTAAAAAGTTCATTAATATCTGGCTGTAGATCATTCTTCAGCAGGTAAGCCAGGGGCGAGTCAGATTCCCATGGGCTTTCCAGGTGTTTTCAATTAGCAACCTATTAAGACCTCAACACAGGTGATTTGGCTTTAACACTTTAAATTAAGTAATTCGTCTCAGAGGATTCTCAGACCCTCAAGGACTGAATTTGCTCATTCCTGATTTAAAGTGTCCTTGATAAATGAAAACATGAAAGAGGTATCATGATATTGCTTAAGTTGAGATAACACAATCATTTTATTCAGTACTATACAGAATTTATGTGGCTTGCACTGCAAACCTGTCATTTAGAAAAACACCAATTAAGGTAATGCCTTTTTTTTTACCCAAAAGTACATTTTAGACTTAATATTCTCCACTTTGTAAAAGCAGAAGAGTGACATGCAGACGTGTAATCAATAAAAACAATGTAGAAACCCTCTTAAGTACAGCTGCTGTTGATGTATGTTTTGAGAAAGTCTTTATGTCTGTCTTGTCATTCAATTAAGAAAGTAAAAAGATATAGAATTCTTTTTATTTCCAAAAACATTGGAACACCATTTAACTAAACTAACAGATTCAAAAAAAATTATGAGGCAAGGTAAATTGATTCACAAAATTCTAAATAGTTCTAAATCAGTATTGGGATGCAAGTTACAACTGTACATGTCCATAAAGCTGTAGGCAATATCCAACTGTAAACGTTTTTTTAAAACATTTTTTTATTAAACAATGAACTATACACACAACTGCTGGTTTAGTACTCCGCTGTCTACAGTAGCAGGACAATGAGCATAAACAGTAAAAACAAAAACATTATTGAGTGCTTGCGAGTTATTAACAATACAGCTTTCAAAAATACTTGATAAAACATAAAATACTGTGCTCCAGATTTCTACATCACATCATCTCTGTTTTAAACTGGCATTTGTTTATGCACTTGGTTAACCCCTGAGCTGTGAACAGAATGACAACCTGGTCACCTGACACCACGAGCTCCACAGAGCCTTACAGGAGAGTCTGCACTGATGGAGAAAATTACAAGCACTTGAAGACCCTCACACCTACATTCAGACATAAAAACAGAGTTCAGGAAAAAAGTTCCCAACCAACCAAACAGATCCTTAACAGATCCAACCAAAGAACAAATGTTTGTTTCTTTTGTTATTTGTTTCTGAAAAAGAGATTTCGAAAATGTAGCCCAGTTTGCAAAACAACACAGGCTTTATTTCCTTATGAAGCTCAAAAATGAATTTTGGGTAGGCATCCAGTAAAGTTTTTTTTTTATTTTCTCCATTTCTAATAAAATAACATATTTGCTATCTGGGTCATTTAGAAAGAATGAAATTAATCTTGTTATTTGAAAAGAATGAAACAGAATTTTTGCCAATTTCCTTCTAGTAACAGTGAAGGTTTACTGGGGTTTAGTGATTGGACTTTGGCCAATACAAATCCATGGCCGATTACTCATACACAGATGTTTAACACAAAACTTTTACCTTTTAACTTATTCACAAAAGAAACGAGACAAAAAGGTTTGCACATAATATCGGTGGGGGGGAACAGAATATATCACATTTATGTGCTAACAAAGTCGAAAGTGTGTGTGTCAATTTCCAGTAGTGTCTTTAGAGAAATGCCTGGATAACATCTTTGAATCAATTAGCTACTACTTACTGAACAAGCCAGTTCCGCCAAATGGCCTCCTCTCTTAGTAACTTTTTTAAGTTCTTATTAAATAAGTTTGCATCATGCTTGTAATATGGAAATTCAAATCAAGTTGAGCAGAATAAAGTGGACAAGCTGACCTTCTGAACTGACTCTGGCCAAGAGGAATGGATGACCCAGCTTTGGAAAGACTTTCTTAGAGCAATCACTGCTAAAAGCTCAAGATTATTTCACAAATCACTCTGAAATTTAAACCAGGATGATGATTTTGACATCTTCCCCCCAGAGCCCAATCATTTTCTTGTAGAATTATAAGATACACTGCACAACATACAGTGGCCTCAGTTAACTTAAACCCTGTTCCTTGTGTAACTGGAATAAATGATTTTTTCCCACAGGGTGCTGTATATGCCTAATATTCCAGAGCATTTCAATTGCATTCTAAATATCTTTAAAAAACACAGGAAAAAAAGATTTAAGAAAAGTGTGTATCAGTGTTTCTACAGCCCAGCGTAGCACGTTTTAATGGTATCATAAGAAATAAACCTTTGACGTCCACTCGGCCTGCTTTCCCAATGAGTACCAGGGGTTAATCCTTCCGGGGGTAATAGGCCAGCCAGAGTGTGATGCTGACCACATCACCTTCAACTCCAGTGTCTGATGGTCGAGAAAAATGGTGGCCCTTACCCCCCATTCCCTCCTGGGCCTTTATGGCCTGAAAGGGGACCTACCTGCCCTACCTACCATGATGTGAATGATACTGCACTATACACTACACTATGTGTCTTTTTGAAGAATTTAATTTTCGTTTTAAAGTGGCTAAGCCAGTACCAACGCTTGCTCCGAACAGACGTTTAGTAGGCATGTTCAGAAATAGCAGGCCAGGCCTGGGCAAAGTCATTCAGTCAGGACTGTCCAGCTGGCTCAGCTCAGGCTCTCAGCAGGGCACTGAGTGGGCGGACGTCTGGCAGCGTAACTCTCCATTATACAATAATCGCCACTGTTGTTTTGTGTAGCACTCGCACTGCACTATTCCTTTCCAGCATTGTAACAGGCAGAATGGTGGCGCACTGGTTACCAGTATGTCTCTGGAGTGTTCCTCTCACAGTCCAAAGACATACTGGTAGGTTGCCTGGCTTCTGAGATAACTGAGCCTAGGTGCGTGCGTGCGTGTATCTGTGTGGTTCTGCCCCGTGATGGACTGGCATCTCGTCTAGGGTGTTTCCCCCTTTGCGCCTGTTGCTTGCCCGGACAGTCTCCAGCTACCCAACGACCCTGAATTGGAAGAAGCAGTTACACAATGGATGGAAGCTGAAATGAGCTTCAACCCTATCTGCTGTTTCCATCTCTGCTTACGCAATGTTAAACTATACAAACACACTGTAGATCACCCTGGATAAGGATAATAACTGTTATTATTAACAGTGACATCAATACCATCGATGAGTGTCACCTCATCCCTCCACGCCCTGCTTCCCCAGCTCTGCTGTAAAGTGCTGAAGGGCTGCCAAGGTGCAGAACAGCTGCACAGGAAACGCTGTATTCCTTCTGTTCCGTTAGCAGGGCAGTAACAGTGAGCCCAGCAGCTGGGGTTTCCAA